CAAGGGATAATTGGCCCATTTGTGGCCATCAGGGCCACATTCTGAGCCTGCCTCAGTGTCACCAGGGCCTGGGTCAGCAGGAAATGCAGCATTTTGAAGTGGAACTTGTTCCGGTATTCCTGGCGGGAGCGCCCGGCCACATGCACTGCTGCGTTGAACTCCTTGTACAGGTACTTCATTGTGTAGGTCATGACAGCGACAGCCTGGCCTAGAGACGCCAGAGGGGACACATGGGAGCCCCGCTTGCGCCACTCAGCCTCGGCCTTCACCCAGGTCTTGGCAAAGAGAGGATTCTTCTGAAACTCAAATTTGTAGAGGGCCGGCAATGTCTTGGTCATGGCAGGGCCACAGCCCCGGTACTGGTCATCGAAGGAGTCCATGGCCATGTCCAGGGGCACCACCTTGATGGCCACGGTGGCCACAGTCACTACCAGCAGTGCCAGGATGCGAGCCAGGAGGGCCATGGCGGCAGAAGGCCACTAGGAGTTGGGTGGGACACTGGGGGACAAAGAGGGACACACTGAGGGGACAATTAGAGCCCACGGGGTTACATGGGAAGAGTTCTTCTATGAGAGGCTGATGAGGGAAACTGGGGAAAGCCTGGAGAAGGGCTAGGCGGGGGGAGTGCGGGTCAGAACACCTGTGGATACGTCCTGGAATGCTGATCCCAAATCCTGGGGTCATTCTAGAACTCCACAGTGTCCTTCAGACCTCCAGGACGACAATCCCACTCCCATGGTCCCATATCCCCAACCAGTGTTTTCCCCCTAATGACCCCCAGGAACTTGATCCAAATTCTGAGGTACCTCCCTGTTCCCCCAGCAGTGACCTCCTGAATCCCATTTCTGTGACCCTTCCAGTGCCGTTTCTGTTCCAACTAGCCCAATAACCCTACTCCCAGTCCAGTGTCCCTTCCCCCCTAATGTTACCCCAGACCCTCTGCAGTTCCCCAGGTCAAATCCTGGCAACAATCCCTGACATCCCCATGGTCACCTCAGTGCTCCACCAACCCACAGTTCTAATCTCAGTCCTGTGTTTACCCTTCCAGTATCACCCCAATGCTCCCCTGGAACTTATTCCTGATACCACAGATCTTTAGACCACTTGTGTCCCCAGGGCCCTCAGGAACCTCACCCAAATTCCCAAAGCCACTCCCTCACCCAGCCCACTGTGCCTCTCAGCCCTCTCCCACACACCAGTCAAGCTCCCAGTCCCGTGACACTTTTGGTGTCACCCCAGGACCCCAAACCAAATCTGGGGATCAACCCCTGTCTCCAAAACCCCTGGCTAGAGTCCCCCAAGACCCCATTCTGTGACCCCAGTCCCATGTCCCTCCCTCAGGTGTCCCCAGTATCCCCCACCAACTGATAACAAAATCGGCCGGAGTGAAATCCCTGATGGAGCTGGAGGTATCAGAAAGCTGGAATTCTTGATCAGCTCGGACTCACAGCAGATCTCTCCTGGTCCTGCAGCTCAGGGGGGACATTGCCATGGGGTATTTATACACCACAATTATTAATATTCATTACAATCAGCTTCTTATCTCATACAGAAAACACACTTTCTCAAGAAATAATTTGCACGGCTCCACCTTTCTCTGGAAGTTCTTTCATTGTACTGGAAGACCATAAAAATGTGGTCTCAGGGGGGCCATTTTCACTGAGTGCCCCAACATGCCAGATGACCTCACCTGGAATATTTGCTTTGAACAGGTGCTGCTCATTCTTTGTTGCCAAAAACCCCTCACTGGTGTTCTCTTTACCTGTTTTTCCATGGGCTCCAGCCGTGTTCATCCTTCATCCTCCATCCATTTTCATTCTTTTCATGCTTTTGCCAGTCAGTCTTTAAACTCTATGCAGTGCCTTCAGGGAAATTGAAACTTTCTATTTTATTTCTACCAACTGAGACTTCTGGTGACCTGTGTGGTGCTTTTCCAAACAACTCAATCAGCCACGATTGGCCCAGGTCAATTTGGGCTGCAGCAGCAAGTGCTCTCCTCATCCAAGAAATCTGGGAAATCCAATTTGGGACAAAAGTTTGTGGTATATACTCTGCTCACTGTAACTGCAAGAAGATGTGGAACAAGAGGAGGAACTCGATGTGTTACAAAGGGCTCCGGAATTCTCAATGAGAAAAAGAGCAAACATTGGAACTCACTTGACATCAGCTTTGAGCACTGCTCATACCCACGGAGCCATTTCGAAAGAAAGAAGCCAAATAACAGCACATCGATCTCTGATTAAATATAATGANCGGGAGTGTGGTCCTGTCATGACTGAGGCGTTGTCAGCCCTCAACCGTTCCGACTTTGATCAGAACCCTTTCTTTGCCCAGGCCTGGCCTGAGGCCAGAGCCAAGTGGCAGAGTCTGGGGTCCCCTGTGTCCCCTCTGTCGTCCCCAGCCCAGGCTGTCGCCCTCATGGCCTACACGATGAATGATCTGTACAAGAAATTCAACGCAGCCGTGCGTGTGGCCGGGCGCTCCCGCCAGGAATACCAGGACAAGTTCCACTTCAAAACACTGCATTTCCTGCTGACCCAGGCCCTGAAGACACTGAGGGTCACTCAAGGACCACAGTGTCACAACGTGTACCGGGGGGTGCATGGGGTCAGGTTCAAGGCAGAGCCCGGTGACATTGTCCGATTCGGTCAATTCACATCGGCGTCACAGAGTCAAGAAACCTCCCAGCAATTCGGGATGGACACGAGGTTCCAGGTGCACACGTGCTACGGTGCAGAAATCCGGGAATTCTCCAACTATCCTGGTGAGAAGGAAGTGCTGATCCCACCCTTTGAGACCTTCAAGGTCGTCGAAGTCAGCCAGGAAGGGGACAGTGCATGGATCCAGCTCTGGTCCAACGGGACCTTCAGCAAATACAACTGCGAGTGGCTGCAAGGTGACGTCACAGGTGACAGCCCAGGGCAATGGGGACACCCACTGTGGCCATGGGGACACCATGATAAGGCACAGGGACAATGACACCCCCTGGGGGTTGGGGGACAGCAACACTCAGTGGGGGGGAGACTCCGTATACACAGCAGACACTCATGATAGGGCACAGAGGGTGGGGAAAATCACTGAGCATTTGGGGACAGGGACAGCCCGTGCTGGGGACACCAAGTTTGGGGACACGAATGTGGACATGGGGACAGGAATGCCCATGACAGTTCACAGGGATGGGGACTCCCACTTCTGGGGGGGAACACAGACTGGGACACCCCTGCCATGGGACAACAGAGACAGGGAAGAGATATGGACCCCCTGTGCCTACCCAGTCCCCCTCTGCC